GGTCAACTTGCCTCGCGAGGTCACCCATAAAGACAGTGGGAGGGTTAAGGATAGTGGTCCCTCCCTATAATGTGGTTCACCTTTAGCAGCCTCACAAATAGTGTTCAGCTGTACAAGGTTTTGAGCTTTGAGAGTGTTTAAACTAGAGAGAAAAGTATGAAAATGTTGATGCCTGTTTGAGAAATGTGTTAGGGTTAGCCTTACAATGGTGTGGCAGTAAGCTAGGATGAGCACGTCTGCGGGGGAGAGGGGAGGAGGGCGGTTGACTGTACCACAGCTGGAGCGCGACAATAATCAGCGCTCCTGCATCTTTATATACAGGAGGAGACGTGAGTCTCTGCAACATGACAAGAGAGACTGAAACGCTGGAGTGAGTGTGCAAATAAAACTGTTAAGAAATGGACATTCTGGTGTGTATTAATGTGTGTGTATGACCCCAATAGTAGCTGCGTATGCTACAAACATCAATAATAAATGTAAAAAATGAAGCTGATACTTTGCAAATTTTGTAATTGTGAAGTATTTTTAGAGCGTTACTCTCACGATAAATGAGGGACCGCTGTACCCCTATCTGCCCGACGGTGACAGAAAACACACTTTCTGCTGGTGATGTTGCAGATGTGCCAGATGTGCTGAGGGCCACAGACCCCCCTTTGCAGACTGTTACCCCTCACCCCCTCATAAGGCCTTCTGTATCACACTCAGGTTGACTTTATAAAGCTTCCTGGAGCGCCACACACCTCTACGGATGCTGATGATCAGTGTCAGTTCACCACAGTGCTGCAATTTTACCCAACAGTGAATAACATCATCAGCTAAATGCATTTTTAAGTTATTCTTAGATCATGCATAGAACTGTGTCATCGGTGAAGAGAGCACGGGCAGCATAGGGCGATACCGTCCTCTGCTGCTCGCGGATAAACGGAGAAGGAAGTGACGTCGTCATTAGCGGATAGCTCTGATGAAGACTGCAGGAGTGATCAAAACTATTAGGAAGGTAAAAAAAACTTTCCTGTTTTTAAAAGAACTTCAAAATGCATTCAGAAGAAAAACACAGTATGAATATACAAAAGAACATCATCAGCCCCCCTGATGTCATAGAGGAAGTACCGTAGTACTGTTTCTAGAAGAAAATACTTCATTATGAAACCAGAAAAATGTGAAGGTAACCGTTTAAATTCTGCTCGGCTCTAATCTGTAAATCTGGGGAGTTGATCAAATCAAAATGTTTAAAAACATATGCCCTATTGCAGTTTTACATCAGAATATTGGGGGTAGCTGTTCATTTTATTTATTTAGTTTTTGCTATATAAATTGTTAAAAATGAGCAAAAGGGGGTCAACAACAAAAGGTCTTTCTCAGGTCAGAGCTGATTCAGCTTGTCCCAAAGCTGATTAGTAAAAAAAACATTATTGATGGAATTATTCTTCCTTTCCATAATTTATTTAAATTCCACCCTGAAAACCTGATCTACGGAGCAGCCGCAGCTCTTCTTTCACACCCACGGGCTGACTCACACCCGGAGGCCCTTAAGCTCCGTGTCATGTGTCGTCAGCCGACGATTTCCCCATGTGAACATGAATCACAACCACCCTCGCATCACAGGGCAAAGAATAATCCTGCCTTCGGTCCTCTGAAAGGAATCAGCTCACTAAAACCAGTTTTCAGGTAATTACATAAGCACATCACTTCCACCGCGCTGCTATATTTACAACTCATCCATGAGTGGACAGCATGGCAGCAATAATCACACCGGGACTGCCATCTCTTCTAAATGTGATGAATGCACAAGCAGACTGACCTTAACTGACTATGAGTGCATCATCGTTCAGTAAATACAAAAATTAACTGAATGGGTTTAGTGGTCTGTGGTGAAATTCTTTCTTTCTGTTTTCCTAATGATGCACATGGAGGTTTGGGGGTGGGGGTGAGGACTGAGATGAGGTCACAATCTACCTCTGGACTAGAAGAGACCTCACCCTGTCACTGTGTTATTTATTCTGACGTGCGTGGAGCTGCCTTTGACATTGTTTATAAATGAAGCTACTGAGTTAAAAGCAGCTCTCCTGACCTCACTGATCTCACACGTCTATTCACAAATCCGTCCGCACCTGTTCTGAGAGCCGACGCAGCTCCTGATGTGGACTAGAGCGCACACCCACTCCGAACTTTGTACAAAGCAAACTTTATGTTTGCTCCAAAGCTTCTGACCTAAAACAACACGTGACTAAACAGCTGTGAAGTTTGAAAGTTTTAACATCAGATCATTTGTTTCTTCTATTATCTGACTTCAAATGACGTAAAAATAAAGACTCAACACTTTTATTTCATCAAAGCGCTCCACAAAGGGAAAAAAAAGCCCTAACCCATGAAGGAAAATTAAGAAAATAATGCTACTGACACAGATGGATTGACATGAACCAGCAAGAAATTAAAACTGGCTTTTATTTTGTTAAATAAGATGATACATAATGTATTTTAAAAATAAAATACCACTGGATATGTAGATGAGTACATTTACATTTTTACAAAACAAGGTAAACTTTAGCTCCAAAAAGGGTAAAATCTGTTTCTAGAATGTGTTTAAATCAAAGTTCAGACATGTGGAACATGAAGAAAAAGCCAATAATATTTAAAAAGTAAAGCCCCTCTGAAGGAGAACATGGTCATGTTGAGGCTTTATAGATAAAACGATTCAAGTGAGTATTGTGTCTTTCTTGGAAACGGACCCCACCCACACCTTCTGTGTACAAAGTGAGACAGACAGACAAGGATTCATGCCAAAATGTTCAATATTGTCTGATTACAACTTTTATTATTTCAGGGAACACGATCTATATTTGTAACAAAAACAAGCAACTTTTAGGGATTTACCTTTCCTTGGGAAGGAAAATCAAAAGAAGGAATGTTATTTTTATTTATCAAAGCCAAAGACGGAGGTGATACACGTTAACACCCAGCCAAGAAACAATGTGAACTCTAGAGAGCATAAAACAAGTGAACTGGGCGGGGGTGGGGCCAAAAACTAACATCATAAGATTATTTAGGGTCCAAATATACATGTATTTCTTATTATTTCTTTATGTCCAAGTCTCCAGTTTTTCCATTTCTTCTTTAAAGTCCACAATGTCTTCTGAAATGTATAAACTGCTCCAACATTGCGACCAGAAAGTTAGAACATGACATGTTTTAGTGACTAGTTGAGCTTCCTGCAAAGGAATTCAGAGAAACCCAATGACGTTTTTTTTAAACTCTCCATGAAACAAATGCACATTTTCTTTGATGTTTTGATTCAACATCCCAAAAACAGAAAGGAGGAAAGGAAAATGTAGTTGGCCATGATCTGAAGCTCACGCATCACGCTGCTGACGGTTAGCTTGGGAAAAGAATGTTTACAGTTCCCTTTTGTTATTAGGGGTGAAAATGTAGAATGGAGCAGTGGAAGATGAGAGATGTCACGTTTTGTTTCCATTAGAGGATAAAGAGTCCTTAAACAAACTTCATATTTCTTCCAACCTGCTGCTCGGCACACACCGGGTACACACTAGGTAATTACTGGGTACACACCGGGTACACACTAGGTACACACTGGGTAATCACTGGGTACACACTGGGTACACACTGGGTACACAGTGGATACACAGTGGGTACACATTAGATACACACTGGTTACACACAGGCACACACTGGATACTCACATGGGTACACTCTAGATACACACTGGTGTTCTCTGCATCTTAATGTTCATATTCAAATCCTGAATTGAATTAAAACAGCAGTACACACCGCCTCAGTGTGATTGAAAACAAGGCAAACCTGTTCTGTAACACGTGTGTACCAAAATAGTTTGTGATAACTGTTAAACGTGAGCTGAAGCCTGCAGGAATGACCCGATTAAAAGGAATCTCACACCTGATGTGCATGGGTCAATTATTCAAAGTGTTAGTTTGTCAAACTGGAGCTATTATGTAGAAGAAGAGGAAACATGTTCCAGAACTAAAATGTGCAAATACTCTAAAAATTAAAGCTACGGGTTGAACATTAATTCCAAATTTGATTCATAAATTAATCTTAAATCTGTATTAATGTCCAAATATCCTCCAACTTATTTGTTTTTTCATCTCTGACTCCAAATTGGGACTTTTAATGAAAATCAGTTTGATGTGTTTTGCATAAAACCTCTTCAATGATGCATTTGCAACTGCATACTGATTCAGTCTTTAAAGCTTTGTCTTCTCTGAGCTGCATTGATTTAACACCTCGATTCAAACTTCTCAGAGGTTCTCAACACGCCCTGTTTCTATGGTTACCATGGGCTTATGCAATCTTGGCTGCTCCTTGGAGAACCACACATGTATCATTATTTCAACTGACAGGTTGGCCACGCAAGGTGAAACCCACCTTGTTTAAAAGGAGAAAACAGAGCTGTACCTCATAATAAAACCAGTCAGAATCAAGAATTCAATACGAAAGCACGTGCCTCCATGCACCTTATAGCTCTGAACTATGGAGCATCTGTTGAGCTCCGCTGTGACCTGTGGGATGCAGATTTCTCAGAATCTTCTCTCTGAGCTCTGAGGGTAGCTGCCCCCCCCCCCCCCCCCCCCCCCCCCCGCTGGGTTGCGTTCAGAGCAGATGCTCTGTTCAGGTCATGTCCAAAAGGTTAAATGCCTTTCGGTTTCAAAACGGTAACAAAAGAACTCGATTGCTGAGATGCAGGTTCTGGTTTGGTTGTAGCGGGTCTGCATGGATGAAACCTGGTCTAATGAGGCCAAAGGTGCGTGCGTCCTCTTCAGTGACCATGAGCTGGAGGACAGAGGAAACAGCATGATCCCCGGAGCTGCGTGACATCACAACGCGCATGCCGCCGATGACCTAGAAATGGAGCGTGCGTCGTCGGTCTCGCGTAAGCAGCGACGGAAGGCTCGTGGCTGCCGAGTGTTGCTGATTGCGTGTCAAATCTGTAGTTAAACCGCTGTTAATAAACCGCGCTCCTATCTTTTCCTTCCAGTAAAGTAAAGGGAACATATTTAAATCCATCACGCGCGGTGTCCTCGTGCCAAGTCACAAATGCGCCCAAAAAAACGCTCATGTTGTTTGCAATCCTACAAATAAAAAAGGTGTTCTTTTCTTCTTAACGGAACAAGCAGTTCCAAAATGATTACGAATGCGCGCGCACTGGCCTCTCTCTCACACACGCACACACACATAATCAGAGCCGCCGACTGAGTGCGTGCGTGCGGTAGGCGGACCCCGAACGCTCTTCACATCCCACTTCTGAGGAGATTACTTGGACAATTTACTGGGAAACACATGCCAGACCGGCAGCGGGCAGGGAAGGCGCTTGGACCGGGACACAAGAGGCAAGACAACACGCCGAGGGGTCGAGACCGAGCCGAGCCGAACCGATCCGGGCCAAGCAGCGAGAAGAGGCGAGAGCTGTGTGGAGATATTTGGAGTTCGAGGGCACTGTCACTTCCCTGGTAAGGCTGAGAGACGCGCTAACCTTCGTGTGGGAGCCGCTCACTGATGCTCATTAATATTAGAAACAGGAGAAGAGATGCTGTTCTTCGTTCTAACAAGCTCATTTATGTTTAATCCTGAAACCCAGAAGGGATATCTACCTGAGGAACAGAGTGTCTTTAATCTATGGAGTCAGTTAAAAATCCCCAGTCATGTAAAACAGCTGGGAATATTGCAAACCCACAATATGCCACTTAGGATCAAGAAGCAGACAGTTTGGATCAGGTGATGGGACTAAGACTGATGCTGAGAGGCTCCAGGTGCCTCTGCTGCTCTGTAAGAGCCACCTGGACAGATTCTAGGAGCAAATGCTGATGCGTGTGCCTTTAACGTGTTCAGAGTTAGAACAGATTTTTGCTCCTGTCAGGTCAGAAGTAGCATAATCCCGACATTCTCACCTCCTTGGCCCAAATCACCCTGTTTCTCCTTTAGTGAATTCTCTCCTGTGCTCGTCCCAGAATCAAGTCAGTGTGAACAGACTCATAGCCTCAGGTGGACGAAAGGATAAAAACGACATTTTGTTGGAGTTTGTTTAACAGGAAAATACTTTGTCAAATTCTTTCCTTCCAGCCTCTAAAACAACAGAAACACTGATGACTCCGTAGAGTCGGAGTTGCTCTACGTTCTTGTTTGATGTGATCAAAGCTTCTGGTTCAGATGCTGCAGCAGGTCTGGTGGACCTCTGTGGGACTGAGAACAAACCCTGGAGGGAATTCTCAGTCTGTGGTTTTCTGTGAGGAGAAACGGGTTTTCTGGGGTGTTGTCACTCCTAATGAACAACGAGGGTGGACAGGAGCCGCCGTCTGGCCCTGGGATTTAAAAATAGTCTTCATTTTGGTGAAAAGTTCTTTCTTTACTCCTCTGAGCTCACCACTGAGATACAGTTATTTGTGTTTTTTCATGGTCACACTCAAATCTTCCCAGATAAATGGACAGATGAGATACACAGAACCCAGGTCATGTTTAATCAGCTGATAAATTTGGTATTTTAGCCTGTTTAAGGAACATCTTATAACTTTATGTGACATACATGTTTTTAAGGCCGATCTGCTTGCCGTAGCTGTAGAAAACCTCATGAAAGCACTTTTATGAAACTTGTGTGATATCTGACGACATTCTGAGGGAAAAATCAGCTGAAAGTCTGTTAGAACAACGAGCCGGGGACAGGGATTAGAACCTGGACAGTGAGATATGCAGGAATGAGGAGCAGATGAACCAGTTTTCTGTTTGATTACAGTTTTATTTAATCTCATATCCATGAATTATCTAAGTGTGAGGCTTCTTTTGAGCAGATGCTCTAATTCTTATTGGGGAACATATCTGGAGGATTATTTTGCCCAGATTTTTTACCTTTTTAAGAGGCCCCCCTGTAGGATGTGTGTTGGGGTTTTCGGAGGTCAGCAGGGCAAAGTGAAGAAAATCCAAACCACTTTCATTTTTACACAGCACATTTGTTTTGTTCTGAGAGGAATTTGATGCTTAAGTCCCACATTGATCTGCTTACATCGGGCGCCTGCTGTACTCAGGAGTTTTCTGATTGGGATTTGGACCGCCGGGTGCTGCGGCATGTGACGGAGTCAGCAGTACAATCACCACCGCGGTGGCCACACACACTACGTGAGTTGTACTTTCAGCTGAATGAATGCTTTGCACCCCCCCCCCCCATCCTCATGTGATGAGGAGGAAGCAGGAGAGAAACGGATCGCAGAATCCGGCAGAAAAGTGTGGTACTTTGTTTTAGGACAACAGAGGTGGCATTGAGGAGCATGGTGGGGATGAGAAAGGACTCTCTGGGCGGAAGTGCTTCCCGTTCAATTGTTCTGTCACATTCAGCGTGTGTGTTGTGTTGGTTTTGTCCTCAGCTGGGGGATTTTTTTTGTATCTTATTCTACTTTTCAAAGTAAAAGCTATCAGCCTAATAGATAAAAACACATTTTTTGCCATCTGGGAATTCTTGCTGAGGCGTCTGCACCTTTGCTTCACGTCATCGTCGTCCTGTTTTAGTGCACAGAGGTCAAACAGTGGGTGGACGTGGAGGGGACTTATGTTTGAATAAGCTGAATGTCTGATTGGTCAGCTTTCTAAGTGCAAGTACACCCGATAAGCCACCGGTGCACCTTTGGTTAGTCGGTACAAGTTGTTAAATAAATAAATGATTCTGGCATGTAGGATGAATCTGATCAGATCTGCGTTCTAAAACGTAATAAAGATAAACCAGTTTTGCATTTACGCAAAGTTTGGATTCAGAACAATGATTTTCTTTTTTTGAGGTGTGTATCACTCGTTTTGTCAATACATTTGCGGTGGTCTCTGAAGGAATGAACGCCTTGCTGGCATAAATCAGGGCACCAGAAAGCCCACAACCCCCTGGCCTAGCAAGACCAGTGTGCGACATCAGAGCTGTGGTTCATTTAGACATCTTGCCTCGGATTGGATAAAAGGTGCGATATCAGCATGCGCAATACGCTTGCTGATATTGTGAAGAACAGAAAAAAATGTAATGATTGGTCAGCTCACATGTTTGCTACACATTATGCATTTGGTCAATCAAATGGAAGCCTGAAGTTTTTGACAAATCAAATAGAGCTCTTCACCCATTTGGCCAATCAGGTGGTTCTGGGTTAGGTTATATGTTAGATGCTGATTCAGCTTTTCCCGAGATCCATAGATCGCCTTTTCTTGTTAATTTTATTTTTCTCTTTCCTCACATCTTTTGATCACAATTTTTGCTTTTCCCATTTTTTATATATTTTTAGTCATTTTATAATTTGTTTTAAAGTATTTGTTCTTGAGTTAAGTAATTGTTTATTTATTGAAAGTCATGTCGTCATCACAATGTGAATCACTGTTATCGCGCATTGCAGGTTTTCCTAATATTGTGCAGCCCTACGCAGGCACATGGATGTTTTATCTCCACAAATAACCAGGAGGAGCTTCAGCTACTGTTGAAAAATACGTTTATGCTGATTCTGGAGGCTAAAACCACAACAGCCTTCCCTGTCATGACTCAGTATTGGTAATCCCAATTCAAAAAGTGACGCAGACCAGTCAGGATTTTCGAATCCTGGAGTTTCAGTTTAATTACTGTCAGAAGCTAACGCAGGAGATTGGTGTAGGAGACTGTTTTCATGGTCAGCCTGCATGAAAACTCATAGTGACCAATGATAATCAGAAATAATCATTAAACAATGGTTTTTCAGTCAGCTACACCTTTAATAGTTGTGTGATGTTGTGGACAAGTGGGGCCGCTGTGGTCTGGGAGAGACAGAAGTTCTGCTGTGTAATATGAAGGGGAGTTCAGAGTTCATGATAAAAATAAACCCAATTAAGGCGCTGGCTGGTGGCTGAATGCCTTCATCCTCATCATTTTTGACTTAAATAGAAGTAGGGATGTGTATTGGTGAAATTCTGGCAATATGATACGTATCACGATACAGGGGAGACGATACGATATATAGCCGATACATTTAGTCAGACAATATAAGTGATTAATTAGACTGATTTTACTGTAGGGAAATTCATCAAGTCCAAACTGATCCGTAACATGTTCAACATGAGTTATCTGAAGAGGGATTTACATGTCCATGGTGGAAACAAAACCCATTTTACACTGCTGCCAACTAGTGGTCGGAGTTTGAATTGCACCAAAAGAAAGGAAAATACACAAATGTTTGCATGTAAATTCGTCCAAAAAATCAATACACAGCTTTTGAATATCGATATAATATTGCAGGAAAAATTATCACGATATATTGCCACATCGTTATTTTCTTACATCCCTAAATAGAAGTAAGCCAACGACACAACAAACGAGAGCTGCGATGGAAATTAAACGAAACCTGTGCAGTCCTGGTCGTGGAAGGAAACACACCTGCACCAGTGGTTTCATCACCTGTTGGGTTTGTCCTCAAGTTCCACAGAAGTCCATTAATCACCTGTCCATTCAGATCAGATGTTTTGGAGCAGAGAAACATCTCAAACATGCAGGATAGTGTGGACCTCAAATGCAACAGAAACATTGTGTAGTGTTTCTTAATGTTGGTAGCCATTAGAACACGTTGTTTAAACTAAAACAGTACTGTTTATTCCTGTGCCATGTTTTAAATGTCAGGGATTTTTATATTTTCTCTCCACCTAAAGGTAACATTTGCTTAACAAACTTGTCTCAGTGTCGCCCATTATTACCTGTTTTGTCCTTTTTAAAAGGGAAACCCATAATGTTTCTTCTACACAAGATGCATCTTGTGTCGCTTGAAGAGGATGTAATGATTCAATAGTTACATCTTACGTAAGAAACCATCAAAGGTGAGATTCCGTAGAAAATATGAAATCAATTTGATCCTTGAATATTACTTTAAACAGAAGATCGGAACTTTTCATTGCAGGGATTAGGTAACACTTCGTAATAACCCAGAGTCAAAAGAGAGAGAGAGAGACAAGTTTTAAAGTTTCAGAAGATTTATTTCTAAACAATTTAAAATAAGGCTAACTCTAAACACTCTGTGTGATGAATGGATGTAGGTGTGAATGAGGCAAGATGAATGGTGCATGGAATGTTGTTATCAGAACTCTTTATTCGGAGAAGCATTAGTTCTGTGTGGGAGCGAATGGTTTGCTCTAAACTACAGTCGGAGTTTCAAAACTACATTCAGACGCTATCTTGCCGCGCTACATACCCTTGATGGAGACCTCCGTTGCAGATCCAGAATGCCAGGTCCTCAGACCCCCCTTTGGTACCGGAGCGGGTGAAACAGCGTACAGTACGACAGACTAGTCTTGGGATTGCCTCCAGGTAAGCGACAGTTGTTTGACAGCGTCAGCGGGACCCTGAAGGGTCAGTGAGTTCAGCTTTTACTCTGAAGGAGCGTTGCGTCAGGTGTAGCTTGCAACGGGTTTTACAATCCAGCTTGTTGTTAGGTTCTTTGTGGTTAAAAAGTTACGAGTGGCTGGCTCGAAACTC